CTTATTTATAAATTCACTCCGTTATTCCTTCCCTTTTGAGCCTGCACAGGGGAACATCACAGGCCTTAAGTAAACCTAGGATCTGCATGAGGGGAGTTGAATTGCCACAGAATGAAGTTGGATTGAAAATCTGTCCATTGTTTGTGGCTCCAGGAAATTTCCTCACCCATCCTTGGAGGGCCTTTTGGAATGGGATGGGGTGAGGATTCTAAAAGCTTACGGGTATTTATAGAGGAGTGACATTTCTTCTGAGGGACTGGGGGAAGGTGATTCCAAACAAAATCTTCTCTGCGTGAGGGGTGCCATTAGGGCTATATGTGACCATATTCTACACAAAAACATGCTTTGGATACTTGCATAATTTAGAGGGGAACCCCCTATGAATTCTTTCAAACCAAATTGGCTGGAAACAACAACAAAAAAATTGAAAGCTGTGGCAAAGCTTGAAGGAGGGAGACTCTACTTCAAAGAAGTACCAAAGTTGTTGGTTATAATTTTTCCAAAACTTACAAGTACCAGTGTTCTAGTGCAGTCAGAGTTGTCACACAGGTGCTTTGTGGCAAGTTTTATTTTTAACTCTTTAAATTCTAGAAGTGACAAGTATTTAATTTCTCCTTAAAGTAGTACTTCTGAAATATTTATCATAAAGACCATGGAAATAAAGGAGATGATTGCCAAACTAAAAAGCTGTGATTGAAACACAGATTCTCCTTGTCAGTACCAAAGGAAATGTGTAATTGAGAACAGTATGAAGAATCTGCATACTGATATAAAGGTGTAAAGGTTTAATTAAAATGTTTACAGAATAAGAGCACAACAATCATTATTTCACAGAGCAAAGCAAAGACAAATGACAATTGAGAAAAACTAAACTATTCAGCCTGTTTCATAAACCTCTGTTCATGTTTACTTTACTATCCCATAAAGGGCTCACAACAAACTGAGTTATCTGCTAAGCTATAAAGATAAGTAAATTAAATTAGGTTATAAACTTCTCCACTAACACAAATTAAAGGCTGTTCCTTTGAATATTTTCACAACACACTCAACATAAATCTGAGAGATGTCAGAGGTTAAAGAATTCAAAACAACTCAAAGCCTTGAGTTATTGAGCCCACAAAAGGACTGGAACACATATAAAGTTACATTAGGGTGCTTGTTTCCTATCTAAAGAGTACAAATAATCAATTTTTGGCCTCTCAGAGTTCACAATATAACAAAGTGACATTTTCAGCTGCCTTAAATGTTATGCTGTTTCAGTTAAATTCAACTTTCTAAAGATAGTTTACACTTGATACATAACTATAAAGCCTAAAAGCAATGGTATACCTGGACTTTACAGAGGGGAATGATAAAGTGTGAAGAATTCAAACATCACATTTAAAATCAGCCTGGGCCAGGTTATTTATTGTTGAGGAAAATATA